TCATTTTGGGTGTAGGACAAGTAGACTTGTATTCTTCAATCTGTATTTGTATTTCCTTTGACTGTTAAATTAGAAATGGCAGCTGTGGTTTGTTAATGACTAGAATGACCCTGGCAGGGCCTTTCATTGTTTTTTGTTTTTAACCGTAAGACGATGTATTCTACCTTAGGCTCAAAAATAAAAAGCAGAGAAATTTAATGGCAGAAGGTTTTTTCCCCTCCCTCTCTTAATTAACTCATCTTTAACTTTAGTCTGTATTTATTTGTAAACTAGTAATTGTGGGTACCAAGTACAGATAATGTTTTTGATTCCCAGTATTTTAAAGATATCTTTTTTCTAAAGTACTGACAATACACAACCATACTGAACAGGTATTGTTACATGAGATTAATTACTCAGGGCTCTGGATTAACACTAAAGTTAAAATTTCTGTCGTTGTGAAAATCTTCTGTGACATTGAAATGTAGACTCTGAAAAGACTCCGGGATGTGTCACAGTATAAAGAGTTATTGTACTGTTTATTATAGTATTGAACTATGTGAAGATTTCTCAATGAAGATAATAAATGATGACATAAGATTGAACTCACATTTATGTATATAGTCTTGTTTTATAATCAACTAAAATTCTTACTCGTTTCAAAAATGTGAGTATGAAGGGCCCCTGACCCACTTCCCACTTCTACTGAGACGTAGAAGGACATGATATAAGTGTCCTTTCATAAATGTATCCAACTCTGAAAAAGTAGTTTGTTATACATTCCTTGCTATGAATAAATGTGAACAAGGCAGGCAAAGCCTCAGGGTAAACAATTCTACTTTAATACTGAAATATCCCTGTAATGATAAGCGAGTGACTAATTATCCTGAAATTTAGGTAAGGCAGGAGTTTTGACTCTTGTCAGGGCAGTTTAGTTACAAGCAAATAGAGAGAGAGGGTATTAGAAATTTTGGCTTCTGAAGAATTTATAGTTAAAGAGGATAATTTTCTTTCGTGACTGAGGTGAAATAGTGAACACAGAACAACATTAGATGAACCAGTTGTGCAATATTTGCATTGACGTGACGTGATAAAATTGTCTGGTTAACCAGTTTTTTTAAATACTTCTTTTTGTAGGAAGAAGACTTTCAGGAGATGATTAAATCTGCCCAGATAATGGAAAGTCAGTATGGTCATCTTTTTGACAAAACTATAGTAAATGATGATCTCACCATGGCCTTCAGTGAGCTTAAAACAACTTTTGACAAACTGGAGACAGATACCCACTGGGTTCCAGTGAGCTGGTTGCATTCGTAACTAAGGGAAATTTCCATAATTATCTTTTCTGTAGAGTGCATGATTAAATCAGTTACCATTTTGGTGGTAGGGTTTTTTAATCTATATCTCTGTTAAGATGTGCAATCCTGGTTAAAATTGATATGTTGGTTTTGTTTGTATCTTTTTACAGCCTTATTTCAAGCATAGTGTTTGAGTTTAAGGTCCAAAGTCAAAATCTGCACAGTACCGTATTCTGGTTGTCTTGACTGTGTAGCTCTATCTCCAAAATAGGGTTGAACTTTTTAGAGAGACATAGCTGGAGAATGTACACGGGAGTTCGGTGCTTCAGCTGGTCTCTGACGTCATCACTGCCTTGGAGTTTGCATGTCAGCCGCTGAATACGTTCAGTTCGCAGTCTTCAGGAGCCAGACATCATCATAGAGGCGCCTGGGCTGGCAGTAAGGCCGAGTCCTCTTACTATTCTGCAAGTGCAACCTTTTTCTTAAGTAGACACAACATATTCACAGTTAGAGTTTGAGAAGGCCTTATGAGTGCATATATCAGTGACTCAACAAATGTTTAATAAGGGAAGATGGGCTTTTAAAAATTATTATTTATGAAACTAAAAACCTTTCTTTATGGCTTAAGAATGGTGATATCCAGGGGCAAGGAAGATTACAAAGGACATTTTTATTTGTAAATCCTCAGACAACATTTCTGGACTCACCAGAAATTCTGGAGCCAGTTATCTGGCTTTGGATTTTCCCAATAAATTATAAGATTGATTCCTATTCTAAAAGTAAGTTTTACATGTTACTGCTACAGTTAAAGAAAATGTGATCATTTTTCAAATGTGTGCAGTTGATCACAATATATTTAAATTGCACTCTAAGATATATTTTAGAAAACTTTTCATGTACTGTTAACTTATTTCTTCGTCATCAAAATATTTCTTAACACTGGCCAGATACCTTCCTAATCTTGCCATTTTTAAAGAAGTTTAAGAAAGACTCTTTTGTTGTAAATATTTAGATGGGATCTCTCATTTTTCTTTGATGCTACTCATCTTCAGCGAGTAAATTATATAGCTCAAAATACCAGAAATGTCCATAGTTGTATAAGAGAACATGTCCTCCCAGTCTTGCATGCCGTAAGACCCTGTCAATCAGAAGTCATTGCATCTGTGACTTTCAAACAGAAAAAACAATATTTTTTGTTGATTTGTAAAGAGAGTTTAGATGTCACTGTTTAAAGAAAAAGAGTGTAGTGAAATTTTATATATTTATGAAATATTTGAAAGGCATATTTTTTTAATTATCAAATGAGGCTATTCATTAAATAAATAGTATGTAAAGACGTCATAATTTAAGATAGTAGTTTCATAAGTCAGGGTCAACATTCCATGTAAATATTTGACCTTTATTCATATGCAGATCCACAAGTGTGTTCTGTGTGCACATTTGATAGCATCACTCACTGAGTTTCCTTCAGACGTGTCAAATTTCATACCTTGACACACTCACAGCTAAATAGTTAGATAACCAGACATTGTTACTTGACAGCGTAATCCAAACAGCAAGTTCTAAGTTAATTAACTAAATAGCAAGGAATTTAGTTTAAAAAGGGGTTTGGTGGGTTGCCAGATCTAATACTGAAGCCACACTTTTATAGTTGTGTGGCTGGTCTAAGAAAGTACAAATCTTCCTTAGGTGGTTTGGGTAGAATATTCTCTTTGAACACTGACTGAAATTTCCGAAAAATCGGGACTTCCTAGGAAATGAATTACAATTTAGGTGGTCCAAATTCTTTGTTCAGAAATAGTACATGGTTTGGTTTTTTTTCATTTACAGACAATTGCCTCAGTTCTTTCCTGCGGAGGTAGAGATAGTGTAACGTGGCAGAAACGGAGTCCTTTTTGATGGTGGTGGTGGAGGTGTTATAGAAATATATTTGTCCAGCCTTTCTCCCTTTTTACACGAGAGCTGGGCAGTATTTTTTTAAATAATGAAAAGAGGTACTTCAGCAATTTGAAAAATCTTTTATCGGGTAATATACATACGTGGTCTTGCAAGTGACGTTTACATGGCCACCTTGATGCTTAGGAAGAGATTCAGTTAAAATTTAATGCGGCAGGGCCAACTCCGTGGCCTCTGATTAATGTTGCAAAGGGCCCTTGATTCTGTACTTTATGCATCCTCAGCTCCCTCTCTAGCAAGGACAGACTAGTTCTTTAGGCAGCTTGCTTCTGAGACAGTGTCAGCCACTATTTGAGAGAACAGGAATATTGGGTTTTTTTAAGTCCATGTATTTAAAATCCAAGATCAGGAAGATAATTCTATATTCCCATTATTAACATACTGGAACCTTTTTTTTTTTTTTTTACCATTATTTTACTTGCCAATATAGACATTATCGATATCTTTAAGGCTGACCCTCCTGGTATTGTGTAATGATTGAATGTATCTAAATTGTAATAATTTAAAATTGACAAACATGTAAAACGAAATTATGTTGTTAAAAGTTTCCTGAAGATACAGAGTTTTATTATTTTCTTTTTGACCAGTAAGAGTTTATAAATAAAAGTCATGGAAAACCTTTGAGCTTAATAAAGTACCTTCAAATTATGTGTGTACTCTCTTGAAGATGTGGCTGTTGCACTTGGCATCTACTTCTCTGTCCAGTGGTGGAAAAAATTGTCTTTTTTTTTTTTTTTTTTTTTTTTTTTTTTTTTTTTTTTTTTTTTTTTTTTTTTTTTTT